ACAGCATATATTACACAACAACATATGCTAACTAGCTGACATGCATTTTTCAAGATAAAAGTTGTACCTCCTAGGGCCTTTGAATTAACCATGAAAGCTTTTGTCATGTGACAGGTTTGTTAAATAGTTGTTCCTTTTCATCAACCACATCACATATGCCAAGTTTCATAACTCTGGCATCTTTATTTCAAGATCTTAAGCAAATTCATGTAAAATTCATATGTTAATTAATCTATAATGTATTCTTGTTATTTGAAGTTTGAATAGTTAATCCTTCAATAGCCATACATTTAATTTTAAGCATTCTTAAACATAAAATGTTGAGTGTTGAGCTTTTGTCATGGATTTTTTTCTGCTATAACCACTGTTAGTCTTGTCCACAATTCAACAACAGGAGCATTTAAAAGATGGTTCAGGTAATTGAAAAATGAGTAACTTATTTGGGAACCATAACAGAACACTCAAAATATAAAAGTTTTTGAGAATTAAAAATAAAAGCAATTCTGGAGCATATAATGGGCCTTTAAAAATAAGGAAGTTTTGACCAAACTTCAGAAGAGTGACCCTTACAAAAATGTAGCTAGGTGATCCTCTTCAAAAGTTAGATAAATGATAAATTGTTCCATTATGATGCATAAGTAGGTCATAAGAGATAAAGTTTAAGACTTTCAATAAGCAATGCACAGAGCATGTATACATATTTTTAAAGAATGTTATGTTTGCCTACTAGATCTTTACAAAAAGTACAGAAATCTTAATTGTCTCTATGCTTAAAAATTGCATTTTTCTGGGTGATCTGAGTGATGCATCGTAAGTGGCTTTGATAGTATGTCGTGTACATTATATTTTTATATATTTTCTGGGATATACGATAATATCCTATGTCCCAGATATTTTATAAAAAAAATAATTTATTAAGAATGTTTTAAAACATCATTTTTTTCAGTAAAACAACAAAAGAAAGGTGTTTTTTTTTTAAATTTTATCCATGTATATTGTAAAGAAAGAAAAGTTTGAAAATTTGATCAGAGACATAGATAACAGAGATAGGCAACTTCCTACCCAGTTAAAATATCACGCGTTCCTGCTAAACTTAAAACTTGTAACAAGTAAAACTTATTAACCAGATATCAAAATCAGGAAAATAATACATTTTCTGAAAGCTTATACATTTGTCTATAGCTGCAGGTAAAAATATTTACAGTTCTTATTTAAATAAATGATTCATCGATTTTTAAACAGAACTACTTATTAATTTTTGTTACAAAACTATTCATGTGGTGAAAAAACTGGCTCAGTGGGTATGTTCTGCTATGTTTTTCTAAGTGAAAGGCATGGAAAGTTACCAATATTTTTACATGCAGATATAGATAAAAGATTTACCTTTCAAATGGTATATAATATTAAATGATAAAATGTACATCCATAAAGTTTTATTTGCTACAAAATGCCTAATTTTTTCACCTTTTTATAGGCATGAGTGATATTTCAATGGAGTATATAGGAGCTGCTTATCTCTGTTATCAATGTCTCTGATTTGATGTTTACAAAAAAAAACCCAAAAAACATTCAATTTATCAAAAAAGTAGGAGTGGTCATGACATTGTACATGTATATAGTATACTATACAAGCCACGCACCGTTTGCCTGTGATCTTTCCCTGGAGTTTCTTGAAAAACACTTATACAGAAAACAGGTCTTAAAAAATTGTATGCTCTGAAACTTCAATGAATGTAGAATATTTCAAATTGAAGTCTAGATGTCCCCGTGTGAAACAATATAAAATACCCAGAGTTTAGGTAAGTAATTTGGTAATTAATTTTTTCATATGGAGCTTCGTGCAAAAATGAATTACCCAATGTTACCAAATACAATAAATTTATGGATCTTATGTGACATATTACTGTCCCTAGTAAATTGCACGGGACGACGCTGTCTTTCTGGTTTAAAGCTACAATGTCAATGACAGAGGGAACCTAGATTTTATCAATTCATTTATCCATTAAGTAAAAAAGGTGAATGAAAAGTAGTTCAGATTTAATGTTCCTTACATCTATAAATAGCGTAAAATAAAACTTTTTTTCATTGCACGGTCTGCCTCGGGGAGGATACTTGAATTCGCGCCGTACAGTAGGCTGCATCGTGAGATATGCAAATTATATGTTGAGCATGCGCACTGCTAATAATGGAAATGTCTGACAATTTAATAACTCGTGTGAGGAAAATAAATGCAGATAAGAGGAAGATATATCATAAGGATCACCACTCGTTAAGACTTGTGACAAGTGTTTGGGAGCGATGGGTTAGATTAAAGTCGGAACTGCCTTTTCAAACGCACGATAACTTTGCAACGATTTTAATGGACCACTGGTTTGTTAACATTAAAACTAGGTCAACGCGATTTATTTTCTTTTCGGATTTAATAGTCTCATTTCGGGTTTTGCACATGTTTCCGGTTTCGTTTGAATTAGGTTGTATACCACTAAATGATTACAATGCACAAACAATGCTAGTGCAATATATCATTATATGGTGAAAGCAGTGATTCAAGTACATGTATCATTACTCATGTCATTGTGTATTTAGTTTAAATATACGAAGTATACTGGTAAGCTCACGTCGGCGCTCGCATCCATACTTTAGATTAAAGTTGTTTTTTTGCAGTATTTTTTTACCCTTTTTTTATTTATTTATTTCTTTATTTTCTTCAGCATCAAACTTCTTATTTACCATGTCATATATGTCAAAATTCGTAAACTATAGGTCCAAATAATATTTTCAGATTTTTTAATAAGGAATATATTGCAAACTTCAACTTTAAGTTAATTATTATCAACCACATAATACAATGTATGTGATAAGGTTCATAACTCTAGAAGCCACATTTTTAGAATTATCTCCCCATGAACTTAGAATTTTCTTTAAAAATGTTATTTTTTGCTCTTATTTCATAATGTATTTTACTTCAGACTACAGTTTAGTATAAAGTTTGATATTAACATCACAGGTGAACGTTGGTGGCCATGACACTATACCCCTGTTCCCCCTCTACAACCCAAAACCCTTAAACATCATCCAAACATCATAAGTATTGACAAAAATAAATTTTATGAAAAAAAAAATATGACTCTAAAAAATTAAATACCTTATAAATATGTTTTCTTTATCCTTATTTTTTTCTTCAAGTGTGTAATTCAAACATCAAAAAAATGTTGTTTTCAACAACTACATCATTTGTAATAATAATAATTTTAGTCCTAATTAGACATGTCAAAAAAACATCAAGATAACTTTTAACCTGCAATGTCTTTTTACTAACAGTTGGACAGTATGAAAAAAAAGAGTAAAACATGGGTCAAATTGTTCACTAAAAAAAAAACAGTCTGTAAAACGGGTCTAATAGTTCACCCCGAATTAATTAGGCTAATTAGATTTATAATTTATAAATCTAGATCTTGTATTTCAAGAAATATTTCCATTTTGATCTTGGAATTTATTTTAGAGTGTTGTATTTTTTTAAACTACAATTATGTACATGTATTATCTTTGTTATTATATTAATAATTGGTATCTGCTTTAAACTTAAGATAACTGTTCTTTGTCTTAATTCACATCATGTATGACAAGGTTCAAGAATTTCAAGAGATATTTCATCTTTAAACTTAAAAATTTTAGTTAAAAACTTTATATAGTTTTTGCTTTTATTTCAAGAGGTGTTTTCTCTTTGAATTTATAATTTTACTTTAAAAATGTTAAATACTTTTTGCTCTTATCATTTTTGTTACTGAAAGAATTTAGAATTCACGTTAGATTTCAATATTGTTGTTCTTTTCCATTACAGCATAGACATTTCTGTTGAATTTTTATTGACATGGTCACATGCATTTTATTTGGGGCAAAAATTTTGAACATTTAAGTGCTTTCTTGAAACTAATACAGAAATAAATTTATATCATATGATTTTTTTTCTTTATAGTTCTGTCTTCTTTTACTGCGGCCATTATTTATTAAGTCGCATGTGCTGTCACCTCTGACAGCTCTTGTTTAAATATGTTTAACTTTTATGTTTCTATGCTGTATGTTTAATTGGTAGAAATATGGTAATAGTTTCTGTTTGTACAGGCCAATTACATGTAACACCCATTGGTTTATGAGCTTCATTTCATTAACAACTTAAATGAGAAATTGAAAAACTGTGACACATAATTATGAAATAATTAATAAAATTTGTTGGGAAATAGGACATACAAAAACAGAATTACTTTTATTCAAATTTTTTAAGGAAAAAAAAAATAGGTAAAATTTCTGTTTCATCTGCCCACTATTTTAATGGGACCATTGGCCTCTCACTGCTGAAAGAGTTGAATCTTGCAATGAACTTTGGATTATTTAATGGGAGAATGCTGCCCATTGAACTGGTTAATGGAAGGTTAACAATTAATTGCTGGTTCTATTCAGGTCCTGCTTTTGATTAAAATAATAAAGAATGAAAGTGAGGTTTTTCAGGTAAAAATCTGGAAAGTTGTCATAATGATATTAACAGTGTTAAACATTATGTGGTAATTTGGCTTAAAATCTCACACAAAAAAACCCCTAAAAACCAGCAACAATAGCAACTACAACTGTATTTCAGGGTGAAATTTAGACATAGAGATGATGATGGTGCTATGAATACTGCTACAGAAAAAGACTTGCCACCAATGAGTCCACAAAGGTAAGGTTGACAGTCTAAGCTATCATAAGAATTAAATTAATTTGACACTTGCTATGCATTTCTTATCATATCTGGCAGAAAGCATTACACAATCAGGAGTTGATTAAAAAAACTGAAAAAGGGGTGATCCTTTAGAATCAATGAAACAACAATATTAAATGAAAATTGTCAACTCTGTTTAATTGAGTCAAATCATGAGAGATACAATTAAATGTAAAAATATAACATCTCTCATGTCCTCTATCACCAGCTTGAGTGGTATTTAATCTTCAACACTGATGTGCTGGAATCAATGCTCCCGAAGGACCCGAAAAATATGACAACACTGCACCCTGCAGACCAAGTTTTTTACAGCTGTCACATGGCACTTGACACCTGCTGTTGTGAAGCATAAAAATCTGAAAAAAAGTGTGATCCCTCATACATGTTGTCATAAACAATTAATTGATTAAGATATATTCAGCTGCTAAGGGTAACATTAAATACATTTATAGTCTAAGTAAGTTTTAAGGAGTCTGAGAGGCTGAGAGACTGAAAGATCACATTCTTATCTGCAAAACTTTTGTCAGAGTAACAGTTATATCATACATTGTTTTACTTGAGGTGCAAATTTTAGAATTTATAACAAATTGGCCTGATCTTTCTTAGAAGATACAATATTTTATCAGAAGGTGATTTTAAATTGATTTGAAATTGATATTAAAGTTCTTGCTGGTTTTATTTTTTAAAGGGAAACAGAGGCTGTGCCTCAAAGCAGTAAGGACAGTGAGGATATTGATAATCAGTCCAACCAAACAAGCCATGTTGAAGAAACTAGTTCCAACAGAGATATATTTACAGAGAGGAAAGCTATCTGTGTGCATACAGAAATTCTTAACTTGGCAAATCTAAGGATAAAGAGAATTTGTTCACAGAAGTTTTGTAATAAGCCAGTATCTGTGGCAGCAAAGTACATAGGAACATCAGTCCAGTTAAAATGGGTAATTTGATTAATTGGTTTTTAGCTTGACTTTTGAAAGAATAGGGAGAGCTATTGTAAGAGGTATTGTTAAATTTTGTGTGCAAGTTGGTATCTCTAAAATTACTGAATGGATTGAAACATCACACACTTATTTGGTAATGGAGTATAATAGAAGGCCAATATCCAAGGCCAATAACTCTAACATGGATTTTGACAGAATAATGGCCCTTTTTGAATATTTTACATTATCAAGGCTCTTGTTTTACTATCAACTATCAAGTACAGAAATAAGTGGAGCATGCTGTCCTACTGACAGCACTTGTTATTTCTATTTTCAGCTTTTATTTTTTTCTGAAGAAATCTTAGAAATGTTATTTTATTATAATTTTTTGAAAAAATAAAAGAAAAGACAAAATTGAGATAAGCACTGGATGATGTTCTGACTGGCCAGGTAGTATGCTGGTGGTGCATACATGATATTGTAGCAGCTCTTACAACTTAATTAACCAATAACCTGCTGGTTAATGGAAGTATGTTCTAAGGAGTTTGGTCAATTTAGGGCTCAAAGATTATAGAAAGGAAAAATGTTTAATTTTGATTATATTTTCTATATAGGTATTTTATTTAAAGTTTTCTTATTTAAAAAAAAAAGGCATTCTATTATCTTAAGCTTTAGATCAGAAAAATGACTTAAGTACAAAACTGTGCGTTAATTTTAAGGCATACAACTCAACTTTGTTGTCAATTTTCCTTTTATTGCCCATAAGAGGGTCATACATGTACTTGAAAAGAAAATAAATGAAAAAAATAATATTATATTAGATAATATTGCATCTAGATCTACTAGCATAATACATTTTTTGTCATTATTGTTATCAGACGTGTTCCAACAATCATCATGTACATACCTGGAACTCTCAGCCAGACATCAACAATATCCCACCCATGGATGTATTGCTCACCTGTCTTCTCCCAGCGTCAGACTACCCAGCTGTAAATATCACATTTAGAAGGATTGGTATAGAAATAATGCCACCTGCTACATGTATGTTATATAGGGCTGGAGAGGATATTACCGGGACTACAGACAGTTATAATACAAGCGTGAAAATGGGTAAAATAAAAAATGAATTGATAAGGCATATTGCAAAATTTATTCCTCATTAAAGCAAAACATAACATTTTGTTTTTCATTTACTAAAGTTGTTGTGATACAAAAAATGTAGCTGTTTAATACTAGTACTTTGATTCAGATGAGTTAAATCGTTCTGTTTTCTCTTAGACTATTAATTTACATCAATTTGTCCAATTTTGATTACAGTGAATGTTAAGATTAAAACATGTATTATATATACTCAGAAACCATGAAAGTGATTATGTAGATGTATATAACAGTATAATTTATGTCGGTCACTTTTTGTGGAGAAAATGTGTAAGCTGCCTGGTGACTCAGCCTGTAGAGATGTGGAACTGTGTTCAAAGAGTAAGAGTGCCAGTCAGGCCTATGACATTATAATTGACATTAAAATGTTTGTCCTTATCCTTATAAATCATTCCAACATTAAAATCAAAACTTTTTAATTGCCTATTGTGCTTTAAGAAAATAAATATGCTTTACTTTAAAAGATACCATTTTGTATTTCTATAGAGCCAGGATGTCACAATATGAACATTGATACACAACAAGAATATCTCTCAGTAACTGGAGATGGAAATGTAAAAACTGAAAATGACGATTATAATGATGAGACTGACACCTCTGTGGACATCATGTAAGTCAGGGCTTTTTTTTCACAGGTTGGGGAAGCAGCCCTGCCCTTACTTTTAGGGAAAAATCACCCTGTATATTTGCAAAAGGGGAAGAAAAAACTTGATGTAAATTCAATTTTTGGGGAAAACTGCATGGTTTTAAAGAAATTTTCTTTGGGGAAGCAACCCTATATCAGCCCCTGCTATAGAAGAAAAAAAAGCCCTATAAGTTATGTTCGTGAAGAAAATTATAATGGGTAGTTATAGGCGTTGATTCTGCCATTGCTTCAAACTCTTCAGTTGTTTGTCATAATTTGACTGAAGTTCTAATCTTATGTTTTATTAATCACATAAACCTGGGCGCAATAGTGTAATAAAACCATGAAATGGAAACGATGTTACACTAGTGTAATAAGAATTTGATGCGACATCATTTGTGTTATATTCAAACATAGTGTGAAAGTGCACATATGTTAGCGTAACACTACTGGTTGGAGAGATAACTCCGACACTAAATCACATATTTTTTGCAATATCTTAATTATCTTCCTGTATGTTTTAAATATTGAACCACCTAAACAAAGTTCAGTTCAAAGACTTAACATTACACTACAAAAGTTATGTATGAAAATGGAATCTGGTACTTCTTTAAGGTCCTGAATGAGGTATACAAAACATGGTCTTTTAACCCCACAACAGTAGATAAAGTCATTAAGTAGATTAAGTAAAAAATGACTGGAAAATCTGCATCAGTAATTTATTTTTACATCTTATATGTGTTATCTATGTTTTGTGATTATTTAAACAGTTTTTCAAAAATCTTTCCCAAGTCATTGACCTGTGGTCAATACAATTCTAACTACCTAATTGTAATTTCGTAAAAAGAACGTTTTGAAGCAGTTTTGCCCACGAAAAATTTAGGTTATTTGAAAAACATTAAAAATTTTACCAAATTATAAAAAAATCATCCATTCTGTCCTGCTCCTATACTTTTAGGTGACCATGTGTTTGTTTGTTGAAAAACAAAGTTATCACAATTATATTTATCAAGTGTCGGGGGATATCTATGCGTCAGAGTTATCTCTCCGACCAGTATAGTGAACAGTGACTTCATAGTGTAAACCGTTTTTTATTTTGAATATGTTATAAATAGAATAATATATTTGTGTAGATTCAAAACTGAATTGAATAAAACAGTATTATGCTCACCACAGGCTGTCATAAATATGGATCTTATTCAACTCCTTTAATAAATTTAGTATTAAATTTACAGTCATTCAGTATCCTTTATAATCAGGAGCTGATTTCAATCAGATTGTTTATTGTTTCACTGCCATCACTATAATTCATTTATTTTACTGTTATTACCTCAACCTTTTCAAAGTAAAATTTTGAGCTATTGCCTCAGTCAGGTTGTTGTTTCTGTTGCTTTCAAGAAACATTACAGTTAACATTATTTATTTAATTCTTAATGGATTGTCTTCATACTGTGTTTATTGCAGAAATAAGAAAAAGTCAAGTGTTGTACCTGCTAGGTTGCTGCACCTGCTAGGTTGCTGCACTTAATGACCTTGCCATTATTGTAACTTATTTGTCTGAACTTGTATTGTATATGACTAAATATTTTCATCATGATTAGATTATTAAAGATTAAAGAATAAAGAGAAATCAAGTAAGTAGCCACATGGCAAAATTTCCAAGTGGAATTAAGGCAGGTTATAGATATGCAAAAAATCAGTGACTTATAATAAATGTGAATGGCTGCATTCATTAGTCTTTGAATGACTGTAGGCTTATCAATTAAGTATAAAAAATTTACTGTGACCTATTTTTAATTTTTTTTTTTTTTTTTGAGGCCCCAACTGGGTAACCCCGTTTATTCACCCCGTAATAGGTATGAGAGGGTCGGGGGTCATCCCCCACATACCTTACATTAATTATACATGTATATCACATTGTCATATTTATAAACAAAATATCATAATATACCTTAAATTTTATCATATTAACATTATAATTAAAGCATACAAATAGTATATTTTACACATGTATGTAAGTAAACAAAAGAGAACCTAACATAAATATAGAATGTCAGTGTAATTTATTCGATTAATAATCTTACAATTTGCCATCTTTTAATTTCAGTGTCAGTCAAAATGGTATTTTTGTAAATAGTCCAGGCTAATTTAAGGCTATTTTTAAAGCCAATACATGTGGGTAACAATTTTTTTCTCTTAGACAAATATATGTATTTTTTCAATTCTAAAAAAGCAACTTGTCATATTCGAAATCCTGATCTTCAAAACCAAAAATAAAAGACTTAAAGTTGAAAACATTGTCAAAATTATGTATGTTACTTTGCAAATATTGAAATAGAGACTTAATTTTATGACATCCCCAAAATAAATATATACGTGTTTCTTTTTGACAGTTACAGAAAGTATACACTTTATTATCAATAATTTTCATTTTAAACAGAAGTGAGTTTGTTGCTAAAGTTCTGTGAATTATTCTAGTCTGAAACAACTGAATTTATGAATCTTTGGTACATTGAAATACGACCTATATATCAATGACCAGTCTATATTATTATGTATGAAGTATGTGTTCCATTTCCCTTACTTGTTGGTACATCTGTATATCTTACACAAGTTTCATACAGGTGTTTTTCATTGCTGTTTTTAATAATAATAGGTTTGATATAACAGCTTACGATAGGATATTGAACATTTAGAAAATCAGCACTAATGGTAATATTTAGCTTTAGCATGTACGATTTTATAGCCTGTTTTAAACCATGATATTCTAAAAAATTAACTTGTTTGCCTATACACTGTTCTAAAAGATTAAACTCAATAAAATCACCTTGTTCATTAAGAATATCTTTAACAAATCTTATTCCTTTGTCATAAAAAGATTTAATGTAGATATATCTATGTCCTATTGAAAAGCAATGGTTATAAAACAGTGGCATATGTAATATTTGTTCGAAGTTATCTATACAAAGTTTATCAACAAAGATCATGTAAGCTTTCAAAACATCAATCCAGAAAGCATTCTTAATCTTATTATTTATTAACATACAATATATTTTTCCAAAATTAAAAACTTTATCAATATTAAACAATGAGTTCACTAACTTATAACATTTACTATCACAATTGCTAACATACCTTTTAAGCCATTTTATTTTTAAAGAATGAACATAACTACTAATATCTACCATGTTAAGACCACCTTCTGTGTATGTTTTAATGATTACAGATTGTTTAATTTTTGCCTTACCTTCCCATATGAAATCATAAAATAAATCATTAAGTGTTTTCAAAAAAGCAGTATTAGGTGTAGGTAGGCTTGTAAAACAATGAGTAAATAAAGGAAGCAATATTGACTTAACAACAGTGATTTTTCCTAGTGGATTTAATACCCTTTTTTTTCCAATGACTAATTCTATTTTTTACTTTCTGCAGCTTTTCATCAAAATTTAGATCAATCATTTTTTTCTAAATTAACATCAAAAGTTAATCCTAATAGTTTAAACTGTGTGTCACCCCATGTTAGTTTCCACCTTGTCTTAATTGATCTAGTACTATATTTAAGAGAGCCTATCCAAATAATCTTAGTTTTGTCAAAATTAATCTTTAAACCTGAAACCTATTTTTAATATAAACAGTTATTTCTTAAATTTTATTGAACTGTTATAGGTATGGTGATGGGGAGGTAAAGATGGAAGTACTACATGATGTAGAAGAGGCTGGTGGTATCAGTGATTCAGAAACAGATTCAGCAACTGATGAAGAGTTTACAGAGGTGCTTAATCAGCTGAATAATGCCAGAAATCTCTTGAAAATACCAGAAGTCGGTGACAGCCATTCACAGGATTGTGTTATTAAAAGTGCAAGAATGAGGAAAAAGGGCTTCAGACCTAATTATGCTGCATTAGAATGGAAAGGTGAGACAGAAATTGAAGAAAATTTGAAGTCTAAAATGTCCAAAGTTGTTCGAGGTACAAAATATGTGAGAAAAAACAAAAAAGATCCCGACTTTGATATTTCATTTGCAGCTGATTATGATGGAAGTGATGGGGACGAAAGTGGGGATGATGTACATGTAATTGACACTAAAATAACTGAAGGAAACAAGAGTGTTGCTGAACCTAACACTGATGAACAGTCTAAAAAGATTCCAAAAAAGCGCAAATATGAAACAAGAAAAGAGGGAATGAAAAAGAAATCTACTACAAAGAAACAAAAGAAGGTGGTAGAAATAAAAAAGCCGTGGATCAAAATTCAATTAGCAGATCATGAAGACAAATATCGAACTGAAAAAATGGAGTCTTTTGAAAGAAAGAATCGTGGAATAGATGCAAGTGAGAATCTGTACTCTTGTTTGGTTTGTCAACATTTCAAATGTTCCACTAAAGATGTAATAGAAAATCACATTGAAAAGCATATAAATAAAGCTTTGGAATGTGACAATTGTCAGTATATTGGTTACTGTAAAGCAGACTTACGTGAACATAGAATAAAATGCTGTAATATTGTAAAGGCGTTGTTTGTATGCGAAATTTGTGGTACTTCTGCTCATTCAATTGAAAGTAAGAGGAACCACATGGGGAGAGTTCATGATGTTCCTGAATGGAGATGCCGATTTTGTCCTGACCTGTCCAAAAGTGTAGGTGATAGATTAGATCATATGAGGAAGGTTCATCCAGAGCTTTGCCAATACTGTGTGGCCTGTAAACAAAGTGAGTAGTTCTTTCATTCACTTTCCTTTCTTCAGTCAAACTTAACTGTTTGTCATATCACATCAACCATTTCGTGCAAGTGTGGTCAAAGTCACTGTGAGTAAAAGTGATAATTGTTTTACATTTATTTGTTATGTCTAAAGCCATGTAGTCGTGAACCTGTATGGTTTCAATTAAATTTTTTCAAGGTCAGAGATGGCTAAATTAAAAAAGGACTTTTCTGAATAAAATTTAAAACAGTCTTGCCCTAGTGCAAGTTGTTTACATTTACGTCAATATATTGGAAACACTTCAATTTTCTGTGGCACTTATATGGTATAGAATAAGATATTCAGTTTAATACAGAATTTATTTCAGCTTCATTTTGTATGAAGCTTTAAGCTTCTAGACACTCTCTTGAATCAGTTGCTGGAACCAATCAGTAGTGCTAAGCAATAAGTCTTAAACTGTCTTGCTCAGGGAAACAATGGCTTGCCCCTGATCGGGTTTGGACCTACACAGTCAGGGTTCCATAGATAGTAAGCTATGCCACCACTAGATATATTGGATGTATATTAAACCTCAATAAAAATGATATAATCATTATGTTCTTGGGGATAATCTTCTTTGCAGGATGAAAATGATATAATATTATGCTCTTCGGGATCATCTATTTTGCATGATAATAAATAATAAAAGACTGCAAAAACTTTACACTCATTGCTCAGTACTGGTTGGTTCCAGGAGAGGATTTTAAAGTGTCTATAAGCTTATAGCTTCCTTGGCAATCAAATTAGATAAATTCTGTACAAACCAAAAGACATCTAAATTCTCAAGTTTTTAACTGCTTAGCCCTAGAACTTAATACATGTATATATAATTTCTTCTTTCATACTTATATCCCTTCTTTACTTACTATTTCAGGTAAATATCAATTAAAGAAGGAGGAGTTTGAGCACCATAAGAAGAATTGTGCCTCAAAGGAGCAGTGTGAGATATGTGGACAGCTTATCACATTAGGTGGTATGAATAAACATGTTCATGATAAACACGAAAATGTAAGAAAATATCAGTGCGAAAAGTGCCCGTATGCTGCCAAATCATTTAAAAGATTGAAAACACATCTCTACAGCCATGACAGTAAGTACTGGTAGATACAGTATAATGATGTGATAATACCAATTTTGAAGAAACATTATACATGTACATGTATTTACATATTGTATGTCTGTAAAATGTTCTTATTGGCTATTGCACGTCAAATTCTTGTGAAAAGTTTAAATTTTATTGACAGAATTTTTGTGGCACCAGGATTACCTATGATAAGGTTATATGCTGACTTTATTGGTTCGCTAGTTGAAAAAGACCCTAAATGTCCTCTATCCAATCAAGTACCTGACTAGACTGAACTTAAAGTAGTCAGTTATTGTCACCACTCGCACTATAATGCCATTTTACATTTTGGATAATGACAGAATTTATATTTAACAAATAAGCAAGCTTTGTTATTGAATGTTAGGAGAAATCTTTTTTTTGTTCTCTTGAAATCAAATATGTTGAAGTTTGCAAAAAAGAACCAAAGAGACAAAAAAAAAACAAATCTCTTGATTTATGACAGGGATTTAGAATTCATTTGTGATAATTTTTGTCGGACATGAACAAAATTCCATATTTGGTTTACATATACTACATGTACGTAGACTGCTTTATTTACTTTGTTAAATCTCCTTACAATTTAAGTTTTTGTCTTTTCAGATATACACCCCTTTAGTTGCGACCAGTGCACTTTCACATGTGTTCAAAAATACCAGCTGGTTTCACACATGCGAACACATACAGGAGAAAAACCGTACAAATGTACACAGTGTAAATATGCTGCAGCTTGGAATGTTCAACTGAAGGAACATGTCAAAGTTCATGCGATGGATACAGCCATCATGTGTGAGAAATGTGAGGTTATGTTTAAAAATGAAAAGACGCGGAATATTCATCTGAAGAAAAGACAGTGTGTAGCATGATATTGTTAAGAATTAGTATCTAGATCATATAGATTTTGACAATTACTAGTATTCATAGTGCAGATCTTGCTTCAAGGAAAGTGTTGTTTTTTTTACTGTACAGTTTACTAAAATGATTTTGATTGTCCTTTTAGTAAATTTGAAGTAAATTTCCCCCTGATCTGCTGCGTATTGTTAAAATTACGATTGTCTAATTTTTGTCTTTTTCCTTTGAAAATTGCAATTATGCAGGAAATATGAGTAAAATTTGAATTATTTAATTCAATGCGTTAAAAGCAAGTATTTGCTTGAATACATTTAAACGGGTAAAATTCAGTAATACTATCTCTAAATTGAAGGAATACGAGTTGTGATGTAAAACGTTCCTTGTCTAGTTGTGATAGTCGATCCACCTCTCTAATTAGAACAAAATACTTGATCTTGAAGCTGTTTGGTAAGAGGTGTCCAATATTAAAAAATCAATAATTTGAGTCACATTTTCTTCCAATTCCACAAGTGTTGATTTAAATCTAGAAATGCAGTTAAAGATCAACGTTTAAGATATAATTGGTGTGCACCACAGGTTCCCTTTCAAAATTGGGGCAATAAGGAAGAGTGATATAATTGGTGTACCTCAGGTTCCCTTTAATAATTAGGGCAATAAGGAAAGGTGATATAATTGGTGTACAGCAGGTTCCCTCTCAAAATTGGGGCAATAAGAGAGTGGTATAATTGGTGTACCATAGGTTCCCAGTCAAAATTAAGGCAATAAGGGAGAGTGGAGTGACAAAGATTGTGTTTGATTGCTGTATAGAATTTAAGACACTTTGCTAAATGATGTGCTCTCCTATATTTTTATTTTTTTTCTCATATAAATTAAAATAAGATATGGATGTGCTTCTCATAATGTTCGTTTTTTGCAAAGAGGATATATTACACATTCTTCTATATGATCTGCGTTTTTCCATATTGAACATACATAGAAAGACTGAAGGTGTGCGTATATATGCTACGCCCTCGTGATATAATTCCTTGCATTTGAACTCCAAACAGTGATTTTATTAAGTGACAAAATCAGTTTTTGGGATACATGTCTATTATTTCTTAAAGGTAGTGTTGGTAATATGAACTTTTAATACATTTTATTGAGTCTATGGATTAATTCTGGATCATCCCTCCTATTTCTTTGACTGCATATACCATAAGGTAATTTAGTAGAATTCACTATGATAATTATCATGTTGGAAGTACATGTATATTTAAAGCTTATTTTATTATAGATTGGATCTTATATTTTATTTTAGTTTAAAGCTTCTATTACTGTATATGACAGGATACTATTCAAATGTTTTTTGTTTTGAGTTTTAATTGACTAGATAGTAGTATTTTATACAAATAAGTATACAAGGTATGTATTTTTATGGATTGTCTAATGATATAGAAATAAACCATCAAAACCATATTATTATTTTATTTTTTTAAGTCTTACTTAAAGATACACTTGCTCATGAAAATATTGATAATTGTTACTCTGTCTCTTTGTTTTGTTTTAGACTACACACTGTAGGTGGACACAATATGAATATACAGTGCCATTTAAAAAAATAAATTGGCAGTGTGTGTGTGTGTGTGTGTGTGTGTGTGTGTGCGTGTGTGTTTTAGCTCACCTGTCACAAAGTGACATAGTGAGCTTTTGTGATCGCTTTTCGTCCGTCGTCCGTAAACTTTTATTTTAAATGACATCTCCTCATAAACCGCTGAGCCAATTTCATCCAAACTTCACATGAATGTTCCTTTGGTGGTCACCTTTAAAACTTGTTCAAAGAATTTAATTCCATGCAGAACTCTGGTTGCCATGGCAACCGATAGAAAAAACTTAAAATATCTTCTTTTAAAAAACCCAAAGAGGTAGAGCTTTGATATTTGGCATGAAACATCTTCTAGTGAGTGTCTATCAAGTTTGTTCAAATAAAAGCCCTGGGGTCAAAATTGGCCCCGCCCCGGGGGTCATTGATTTTCCCTATATTCATATAGTAAAAACTTAAAAATCTTCTTTTAAAGAACCCAAAGAGCTAGAGCTAAGATATTAAGCGTGACACATCTTCTAATGAGTGTCTATAAAGTTTGTTCAAATAAAAGCCCTGGGGTCAAAATTGGTCCCGCCCCAGGGGGTCATTGATTTTCCCTATATGCATATAGTAAAAACTTATAAAATCTTCTTTTAAAGAACCCAAAGAGCTAGAGCTAAGATATTTAGCATGAAACATCTTCTAATGGGTGTCTACCAAGGTTGTTCAAATAAAAGCCCTGGGGTCAAAATTGGCCCCGCCCCAGGGGGTCATTGATTTTCCCTATATGCAGATAGTAAAAACTTAAAAAATCTTCTTTTAAAGAACCCAAAGAGCTAGAGCTAAGATATTTAGCATGAAACATCTTCTAATGAGTGTCTATCAAGTTTGTTCAAATAAAAGCCCTAGGGTGAAAATTGGCCCCGCCCCAGGGGGTCATTGATTTTCCCTATATGCATATAGTAAAAACTTACAAAATCTTCTTTTAAAGAACCCAAAGAGCTAGAGCTAAGATATTTAGCATGAAACATCTTCTAATGGGTGTCTACCAAATTTGTTTAAATAAGAGCCCTGGGGTCAAAATTGGCCCTGCCCCGGGGGTCATTGATTTTCCTTATATGTGTAAATTAGAAAAACTTTAAAAAAAAATCTTCTTTTAAAAACCCAAAGAGCTAGAGTTTAGATACTAAGCATGAAACATCTTCTAGTGAGTGTCTACAAAGTTTGTTCAAATAAAAGCCCTTGGGTCAAAATTGGCCCCGCCCTGGGGGTCATTGATTTTATTTATGTGTATAGCAAAAACTTAGAAAAATCTTCTTTGAAAAAAAAACCAAATAGCTAGAGTTTAGATATTAAGCAAGAAACATCTTCTAGTGAGTGTCTTCAAAGTTGTTCAAATAAAAGCCCTGGGGTCAAAATTGGCCCTGCCCCGGGGGTCATTGATTTTCCCTATATTCATATAGTAAAAACTTAAAAATCTTCTTTTAAAGAACCCAAAGAGCTAGAGCTAAGATATTAAGCGTGACACATCTTCTAATGAGTGTCTATAAAGTTTGTTCAAATAAAAGCCCTGGGGTCAAAATTGGTCCCGCCCCAGGGGGTCATTGATTTTCCCTATATGCATATAGTAAAAACTTATAAAATCTTCTTTTAAAGAACCCAAAGAGCTAGAGCTAAGATATTTAGCATGAAACATCTTCTAATGGGTGTCTACCAAAGGTTGTTCAAATAAAAGCCCTGGGGTCAAAATTGGCCCCGCCCCAGGGGGTCATTGATTTTCCCTATATGCAGATAGTAAAAACTTAAAAAATCTTCTTTTAAAGAACCCAAAGAGCTAGAGCTAAGATATTTAGCATGAAACATCTTCTAATGAGTGTCTATCAAGTTTGTTCAAATAAAAGCCTTAGGGTCAAAATTGGCCCCGCCCCAGGGGGTCATTGATTTTCCCAATATGCATATAGTAAAAACTTACAAAATCTTCTTTTAAAGAACCCAAAGAGCTAGAGCTAAGATATTTAGCATGAAACATCTTCTAATGGGTGTCTACCAAATTTGTTTAAATAAGAGCCCTGGGGTCAAAATTGGCCCTGCCCCGGGGGTCATTGAGTTTCCTTATATGTGTAAATTAGCAAAAACTTTAAAAAAAATCTTCTTTTAAAAACCCAAAGAGCTAGAGTTTAGATACTAAGCATGAAACATCTTCTAGTGAGTGTCTACAAAGTTTGTTCAAATAAAAGCCCTTGGGTCAAAATTGGCCCCGCCCTGGGGGTCATTGATTTTATTTATGTGTATAGAAAAAACTTAGAAAAATCTTCTTTGAAAAAAAACCCAAATAGCTAGAGTTTAGATATTAAGCAAGAAACATCTTCTAGTGAGTGTCTTCAAAGTTGTTCAAATAAAAGCCCTTGGGTCAAAACTGGCCCCGCCCCGGGGGTGTCATTGCTTTTAACTATGTGTGTATAGTTAAAACTTAAAAAATCTTTTTTTTTTAAAAACTCAATGAGCTAGACCTTAGATGTTTAGCATGAAACATCTTCTAATCGGTGTCTACCAAGTTTGTTCAAATAAAAGCCCTGGGGTTTAAACTGGCCCTGCTCTGGGGGCCTATATATACAGGTGAGCGACTTCAGGGCCATCATGGCCCTCTTGTTTTTAAGACACTAACCTTAATAGGGAATGCAGCTTCCAATACATAGTTTGTACATTGTTTATTCAATTAGACATATTCAATAAAACATTTCATAGATTTAAATTAATTTCTGTGACAACAATATTTTAATTGGAGATGAGCATAGTATATCTTTAAATAGAAGGAAAACTACTTGTGTATGTTTATTATGCCGCCCCACCAACAAACATGGTTTTAATAAATTTCACCTTGTACCATCCCTTCCTGTCCCATTTGTAATGTTTTTTTGTCATTAATATTTTTTTGAACCAGTTCAGATATTAACCTTAAATATGTAGGCCCCGTAATTATAAAGGACTCCAAAAGTGCTCATTAGGCCAATTTTTCTAACTCTTCATTGCATTGTGACAGAAGCAAGCCTCTTTTTGAAATTTTGAGTATTTCTGAAAAGTCGCCATATGACCTATACTGTGTTTGTGCGACATAAAATCCAACCAAAAAAGAAGAAAGAAACCAGTCAAGGTTAACATGTTCAGAGAGATTTACCATCAAGTTCAGCATGCCAAGTCTGTTCGTATTTCGTTTTGAAAGAATTATAGAAAATGGTCATTGACCTCGAACCACTTGACCCTCACCACTGGTTTTGAATTATGCAAACGACTTTGAATTCTTTTATGTGTGGAAGCTATCCAGCCAGCTTACTGGACAATGATGATTGCACTCTGATGCCTGCTTGTGCCTGGAGGAACACCAAAGTCTACCTCCACCAATAAATTTACCTGGAAAGTTGCCATATGACTTTTCCAGTGTCTGTGAGACTTGAAACCATGAAAAAGGAAGAAAAGGCTTTGGACATCAGGTAAGATATTCCTTTAAAAATGAAAATGTGAAGAATATAAGCAAGGTCAAGTTTCATAACTGTATTGCATTTTGACAGAGCTTTGCCTATTTCTTACTAAATTAAATTACACTATAATACCCCTGAAACCAGAACAAAGTATGATGTGAAACTTTTAATGAAAGAGCAGCTTGATTGTCTTATACGACAAATTGACACTAGCCGAAGAAATTTATCAATATGTGAAGAATGATATTAATTTAATCCTCAATGAAAGGGCAAAATAAAATACAAAATTGAAAAAAGAGTTAAACACAATTATTTTGCTAAAATTCAATTCAAAATTCGTATGTAAAAAACTGCAAAAAATGCTCTTCAGCATGACCTAGCCTAAGTTACTGAATACATGTCAGGATACATGTGCAACACAACAACGCCCGAGTTGCAAATCTTATATTACAGTAGTTGGTTTTAAAAAGCTCATCAGGATTTATGTTTATTGTTATATGAATCCCAACTTAAAATAAAAAACCTTGACTTGAACTTGGTCTAATTACATTTATACCGGAAAATGTACTGTATAATCAGTGCTTTACTTCGACTACCAATTCATTTTTAAACATTCTTTGTTCTATTTAAAATTGACAAAAATTAGTTGTAAACTGAATTTATAAATTTATTTTTTCTTAAGTAGGACAACATTCTAAAACCAAACATTTTGAAAATTGATTGAAAGAGCTAGGCTCTGTACATGTGTACTGTAACATATATGTACATGTAATATACTTAATTAGTTTATAGTGATTTTCGTTTTTATTTGTTTGGGTCGTCCGACCAAACAAATAATGGTAGCGAAATTTCAGAGCCTAATGCTGTTAATTGCAAATGCCTAAAGTAGTCCACTTTTTTGAAGCGGTTACTTCCCTTTATATGTACACTAACGCCAAAAAATTCAGAGGAGATCAATGCGTAAAGATTGTCAAATGACAGGTGCATTAATTTTCAAGCAAAGTAGTTCCCGAATGGTCGAAGATTTCTAATATTGTTTCATTCTTTATAGATATACATGCTTACAGTAAGCTCCATGATTATTTACATCTGTGTTTAGCGTCGAAATAATAAGAGTTACAAACCCTAATTTAGAATAATATGGTTTTCTTCAGGTCGTTAACTTATAATTTCACCGTGGCCGAGGGGTTTGCACGCTTGCTTCAAATCCCAGTTCAAATCCCAGTTGAGGCAACTCATTTTTAAAAAAAAATTTTTAAGTCAAATAAACATTGAATTGACTATCAGTGTTGCAATAAGTCTTATAGCCAATTTACTACAGTTAAAACACTGGAAAGCATTGGTGGCAGTCTATACAAAAACAAATTGGTTCATAATCTCACAACCTTCACCTTTCTGACATTCTGAGACCCAAATAATACAGCGCCTTCTGTGCTTTGATTTTGTTTGTTGGTTTGTTTGTTTGTTGCTTTTTTTTAGTTTAAAATTTACTGAACACGGGAGATTTGTTGCTATAACATCTGTTTGAAAGTCACAAAATAACAAATTTGTGCTGCA